TTTTTTTTTTTATTTATTTTTTTGCAAGAATTTCTCTTTTCAGTAGTGACATTTTTTTTTTTTAATCTGAGAACATTTTCTCTTGGTGTATAGGATATATAAGTCAGGCACAAAAAAAACAAATATTCACTGACAAGAAATTATAAGGAGATATTTTAAATGCTTGGCACATATATAATTTTATACTGAAGATGAAAGCAAATCTGAGTACTAATCAAATGGACATGCTTACTAATTTTTGCATAAAGAATTAAATGTTGGCTGAACATATAATACTACAGAATGGAGAGCCTCTTCAATATTTTTCTGAGTTGACCAATATTTTAATTTTATGATTACTAATGATAAGAACTCTGCATTATATAAATAGATAGTACAAAAATGGCAGAAGTGTGCTTAGGGCCATTTCAGAAATTGTTGGGTTTAATAATTAAAAAAAAAAACCAACCGAAAAACAGTCCTTAAGTCAACTACTTGAACAACATTGTATCAGACGTGGTATGGTCAATCCAACATGGCTTGGTGGCATGTGCCGTGCCCGGTATTGATGCCATTACCTAGAATCTCAATGGAGGACTGTCTGAGGTATTGGTCCATGGGCATGTCTGTACAGAACTGTCTAGGTTGCCTAATGAGCACCCAATCTAAAAGTGGGAGGCACCATTCCCTGTTTAGTACCCTGGACTGCAGAAGAATAGAAAAGCTCAGTTCAATGATAAACACATATGCGTCTGTTTCTTCCTGCTCTTGACTGTGGATGTGACTGGCTGCGTTAAGCTTCTGCCCCATGGCTCCCTGATATGATGGATTTAATACAGAGTTAGGAGCCAGATAACTCCCTTCTCTCCTTTAAGTTGCTTTATGTCAAGATATTTCTTCACAGCAAAAGAAATGAAAGAAAGATATTCCCTGTATCAATCAAAGCCGTGGACCTAGATTTCTGTTTTTTTTTTCCCTTGTTTAACCAAATTCCCTTGTGTTATTTCCTTTGTATTTCCCATTCGGCACTTATCTGGGGCTGTGACAGTAACTGTGACATGTGATTCTTACACAGTCACTGTGTTTGAATCCCTTCTCCATGTGGCCATAGCACTCAAGACATCCAGGTCTCTTCTCATTGTAGCATCAATGCCCTGGGCTTGGAGTACTTCTGTGATTTCTTCCTCTGGAGTCCTAGGTTCCTGCTTATTTGTCTTGACCTTCAGCCTTCACGTGCCCTTCCCTGCCTTGTTTGAGCCAGTCACCCTAACATGCTCTGCCCATCAGAGCTCATCTCTGAATTTAACCTCCAGTTGTCCTTGCCCACGGTCCATCACTGTACTATTTCTGCCTGGACTCTGGGCCCTCCTGCACGTCCCTGCCCCGCTGTTACCTGCTCCCAATATGACAAGTATGATTCTCAAATGGCCTGTTTTCCTGAGATTTTATAAGACAACCTGCAATTTCCTATCCTTCAGTGGGAGAAAGGTTCTTGGTTCAGGAGCTGAACAGAAGGGAAAAAAAGTGAACGGTTCAGGGGAAGGCACTTAATCCTCTTCAGTTCTGCCAGAATCTGACATCATTAAGAAGATAAGTAAATAATATGGGAGGCAGCATCAAGATAAAATGTAAATGTGCACAATGCAGCTTTTGCACTTAACCAGCCCTTTCTCTTAGTATTAGTTCCCTACCACCACTGAAATAAATTCTACAAACCTAACGGCTCAGAACAAATTTATTTCTTCTGCCATCATAGAGATAAGCAGTCAAAAAGGAGGTTCAGTGAGTTCTGCATATAGCATTGAGATGTTGGTAGGCTGTGCTGTTTGAGGGTGTGCCCAGCCTGTAACTCACAGATTGCATGTGACCAAGGATAACTATGAATGCAACCCACCACAAAATTGTAAATGTAAAAGTTGTGAGGATCTTGTATTTGGTTGCATGGTCCTCTTTTTAATTTAAAAAAAATATGCATTTTTATTTCAAGTGTATGAGGATTTTGCCTTCATGTATGTGTATTATGGGCATGCAGTTCCTGAGGAGGCCAGAAGGGGGCACTGGATGACCTATAACTGAAGTTACAGATGGTTATGATCTGCTGTGTGGGTGCTGGGAATTGAAGCTAAGTCCTTTGGAGGAGTAGCCAGTGTCCTTACCTGCTGAGCCATCTCTCCAGCCTTGATTGGACAGGTTCTTGGGCATGAACTTTGTAGATGATAATGTTTTACAGTGACAAAATTTATAATGACAAAAGATTAAACATGCTTGTAAGGATCTGGAGAGTCTCTGTTCCCCTCCTGTTATAATGTTACCCAGGATCTCTGCTTTAGCTCCTAAATCCCTCCTTCTGAAGAAAGTGAGTGATTGCCCTCCTCTGACCTTCCCTTCCATCTATACCTCCTTCTCTGATCCTCACTCACCTCCAATACCCCCTAACCCCACTCCAACATGAGAATCCTGTGATTCACTGGTCCCAGGTAGATAATCCTAAATAACATTCCAACCTTAACATCCTTCACTGTGTCATGTCTTTCAAGCTTCTTTTTCAAGGTATGAATATATATATTCACAGGTTCTGGGTATTAGGTATAGATATCTTCGGGAGATAGTATTCTACTGACAGCATTTTTCTTTTTTTTTTCTGCTAATTTCATGGTTAACTTGTAAAACACTTGTAACACCAGAATGTTCTTTTATGTGTTAAGTGTTTTGTGTGCTGTCTCATTTATTCCTCGCCATGACCCCACTGGTGGTGGATTTTTGGCAAATCCATTTTGTATGGATGGAAAGAGAGGGACAGGAGAGGAAAAGAGATGAACTGAACGTGTTATAAATAAATCAGGCTGGACATTATCTATCTAATCATCCACACAGACTTGTGTGCATTACTAAAGTATTCTTGCACTGCCTTGCTAAGGAATGGGGAAAATAGACCCTTTGGATAACTTTGTATCTTCTGAAGTTCATTCAGCACCTTTTCAAATCAGGATTCATTTCTCATATCTACCAGAATCTTCTCTACATCCTTATCACACTAATGTGAAAGGTGTATGTGTGCACCCGTGTGTGTGTGTGTGTGTGTGTGTGCATGCTGGGTTGCTTCTCATTCCTGGACCTAAGCTGTAACATCTCTTGCAAGGATACCCCAAAGCATGCACAGGTGTTGGCAACTATAGTCCCCAGTGCCTTCTGATCCTTTTATGACTTTATTCTGGTATTGCTGGGTCATTTATGGCATGGAAGGGAGGCTACAGCCACCTCTCTTGCTGTCCTAACTTTTGAAAGTGACATATACTTTAGTATTTGCAAGTGTAGAGGTGATACATGTTTGAGGCAAAATGTCTTAAAGATGTTAAAAAAACAGAATGAAGGAAAAGGTCCCCTTTGTCTCTCCAGACTAGTTTGAAGCAGGTCCATCCCTCTGGTGGGAGCTTCGATGATGTTGTTCCCTGTCACTGTATACTTGTGGCATTGGCAGTCCTCAGTTGCCTCATAAGGTGCCATGTAGCTGCTTAGGTGGCTGGCCCTGCCTGTTGCCATGTCCTCATCCTAACATGTCCCCAATGGGAGACAGGTTAGAAAAATGACCAAAAAAAAATGGTTTTCGGACATGGAGAAATTATTTACTTCATGGAAGAAGCAACAGAGATCACATGTGGAAAGACTTGGAGCCTGGGAATCATAAATCGCCAGGTTTCTCTAAATCCAACCAGACAATTAAAACCCTCCATTTCACTTTAGAGATAAAAATTACATTAAGGCAGGCAATGGAGATAAAGTCTTAGGAGAGAGTGACTTGATGCTGGAAAGCCCAGATGAGGGATGTGTTTGCTCTACATATTTATTTAACCTCTATGACATTTGATTCTTCCAAGAAGAGCAGCAATAACACACACCTCAACAAGGCTGTGAAGATTAAAATAGAGAATTATATAAAAGCACCTGGCTCAGGGTCTGCCACATACTAGGTGCTTAGTAAATATCCACTCAAAATGCACCCACATGCACGCCTTACTAGTTATTATAGCTTGCTACTGTCAAAGAATCTATTTAGTCCCAACCAAAACATTTAAAACTCCACTTACTGAAGACAAACACCTGTGTGTATTTGCCATTCAGGAAGTGAATGGGGTCTTGTCTCTTGGGGAAACAAAGTCTCAAGTGGGGAACAGTCATGGGCCAGGATGTGTGGAATGCTTGCACAATACAGAGCAGCATAGCTGGCTTGGAAGTAGTGGTGTGAATGATGAGAGAACTTCCTAGAGATGGGGTTGAGTTGAGCATAGAGTTTCAGGGGAGGGGGGGGTTGTTCCCAGGCACATAGAACATTCCAGGCAGAGGAAAGAACATGTGACAGAGAGGGGAGGTAAGGGAATCCCCTATCTATAGTGATAGCCTGGTGCAGGTGAGCTCACAGTCTATGGATGGGTAAGCTATCGATCACCAGCTGAGGAGATCAAAGCCAGGCTGGTTGCTCGAGCTCTGCATGGGCTGGGGTTTGTTAATGTGTTGTAGTCTGTCCTGGGGGAAAATACTGTGGACTCTGCTCATGAGATGATGGAAAGTAGGAGGGAGGAAGGTTAAATGGATGTATATAACTCCAAATGTGTGCTGGGCAAGGAGCTGGGGAGATTAGGAGGAGCATTTGTTCCAGCTCCTTCTAATCAAGCATCCCTCCTCTCCAGTCATCTCCCCTTCCATCCTTTATATGTTTTGAGAAGAGGTTTTATTATGCAGGCTGGTCTCAGTCTTGTAAGCCTCCTGTCTCAGCTTCTAGAGTGCCTGGATGACAGGCATGTACTACTGCACTCAGTGGCTTAGATTTATTTATTTATTTGTTTGTTTGTTTGTTTGTTTATATTTTTGAGTCAGAACCATAGTTCAGGCTAGATAGAAACTGTCAATCTATTTCAAGAAAGTCCTGGGCCCAGGAGCATGCAAGGGTCATGGGGTCTATGTTGATGGTCGTCAGGAAACCTGTGATGCTAAGATGTCTTCTCCCCTTCCTTTCCTGTTCTCAGCAATGGAATGGCAGAGACACAGCCCTCATGGTCACGCGGGTGGTCAATCACAGGCGCTTCTCAGCCACAGTGAGTGTGGCAGACACCTCTCAACGCAGCGTCTCCAAGTATCGCTGTGTGATCCGCTCAGATGGTGGGTCTGGTGTGTCCAACTATGCAGAGCTGATCGTGAAAGGTGAGTACCACCGTACCACAACTTTACCGAGTGGCTGGTTACAGGACCTTCTTTACTCTATTTTTACATAACAAACCTCTTCTCTTACCTGTTGCTTTCTTCTTAAAGTCCCCATCACTGATCTCCCCAACACCCTCCCATGCAGGAGATACACACACACACACACACACACACACACACACACATACATCACAGGGGAAACCTCCAAATTTGACTTTTATTTTATTTATCTTTCAAATCAAGATAAAGATGTGTCCTTTGTGCTTTCGTGATGTTCCACTGAAATGTTTGTGAGGGGTTTCTAACTGAAAGTTCCATCTAAAGATAATATTTCAGAAAGGCTGTGTTGAGTTAATACTCCTATCTCCCCGGTGGTCTTAAGTCGGTGTGCATCAGTTTTCTTGTGCCTGTTTGCCCTGAGAACTTGGCTCCAAGTTTCTAGCAGTGTTTAAGAAGGTCATGGAACCTTTAGGAGGCAGAACCTTGCTAGAAGAAGTACATCACTGGGGACAGGCTTTGAGAGGCCATGGCCTCAGCCTCATCCAACTGCTAGTTGGCTCTCCCTGCTTTGTGTTTGTGATTAAAGGTGTGATTCCTCATCTCCTTGCTCTGGCTGCCAGCTGATATGCCTCCCTACCATTAGGGACTCCCCTTCTATGATCTCAAGCCTGAGGAAACGTTTCCTTCCCTAAGTTGCCCCTGGTCACCTGTTTATCACATCAACAGAAAAGTAACTGATACATATATCATCCAATGTATTTCTCTCTCTCTCTCTCTCTTCTCTCTCTCTCTCTCTCTCTCTCTCTCTCTCTCTCTCTCTCTCTCTC